AGTAAAGTTGTTCAACAATCTAATACAAAAAGATAAATGTCTTAATACACTGAGTTAAATGAAAATACATAGGCTCTCAACTCTCAAAATGAAATGCAAATCTAATAATCCACTAAATACAAGACTAAACATCGGTGGAGCAAAAGTAACTAATAAATGAAATGACGGCGACTATACTGAAAGTCCGTCAACCTACGGCTCTCCGAAACTCTACTTTGTTGCCTGAAAAGATGTTTAAAACAAAAAGAATAACAACAAGAGCGTCAAAGTGTTATAGCAAGATCATCTCTATCTGCTCCCAGAGGAAGGCTACTAAGAATGATGGAGGCTCTACCTATAAGTGCATAGTCTACCTAGATTATTTTTCTCGTATCTAATGGAATCAATATTTAGACACCTACAAAACGAGATGTAGTACGTCCAGCGAAATAATCCAAATAAGAAAACCCTCATGTATATATCATATGTCTCAAATTGTAGATACCTAAATATTAACATTAAACTAGAGATAAACAATCTAAAAAATTAATAATTAGAAATCCACAATATGGGGCTGGTACATCGAGCGAAATAATCCAAACAAGGAAACTCTCATGTATATACCATATGTCTAAAGTTATGAATCGCTAAATATTAACTCCAAAACTAAGAATAAATAAATACAAAAAATATAATATAGGAAATACCACATCATACATCTCTAAAAATGTCATATCAACTCCTCATACTACCCTTAGTGGGTAAAACAGATATTGATACACTCATATATCTAAGTTATGAAATACTTTCATAATGGATCATATCGATGATATTAATATTCACCTACACTTAGGTTATTTATCGAATCATCCTTCTCTGGAATATTTCAACTCATCGTACCCCCGTGCGGACCAGTAAATAGATATGTTTGTTCATTGCACTCTCGTGCGGACCAATAACTAGGTATGTTAATTCATCGCACTCTCGTGCGGACCGGTAACTAAGTATAATAACTCATTGCATAACCATGTGGAATGATAGTTAGGTATATCAACCTCTACGCATCTTCATGCAAACCGATAGATAGGTATTTCAACCTCTGTGTATCTCCATGCGGACCGATAAATAGGTATATCAACCTCTGCGCATCTCCATATGGACCGATAGATAGGTATATCAACCTATGAGCATCTACATGCGGACCGATAAAGAAGTGTAGTCCATCTACGGTCTTATTACAAGACCCGACTAAAGCACTCGGAGTATAGTCCATCTACGGTCTCATTATGGGACCTGACTAACCCCACCCAACCGATTATAATTATAATATATATAATAGTAGTCGTTACTCTTAATGATTGTAACCTATTTGGATACCCCAAACAATGTAATCATGCATACTCAATCCCCGTATGTGTACTCCTCGAACTATACGTGAATATCAACTCACGTCTTGCACAAAAATGCTCACCAAACGAACACACAAGCAAAAGGTTCAATCTCACAAAAACCGACCTAATCAGTCGACCGACAACCTCATCGGTCGACTGATAGGGTCGTCCACAAAACAACAGGGCAAACATGAGCCTGTCAGTCGACTAATGCTTGCCATCAGTCGACTGATGACCTCCTGTCAGTTGACTGATGGAAACTTCAGTCGACTGAACAGGACGAAAATGCATAGTTTGTTCTTCTCTCGTGTTTTCTTTAAAAACTCGGGTTTTTATCAGATTGTATGAATAAAACTTGATTCTATTGTCATTTATACTTAACCAGTGGTTTATTTAAATAAGATGAATTAGATGAACACATAGATCTAGGGTTTAACATGCAAATCAACCTAATTCTTATTTATTTCGACAATCTAAAGCATATAAACTATATTAAACTATAATTGACTCATTAAAATAAATCCTAATGATCATGATCATGTTAATATACTAGTTTTAGATTTCTTCTACTATTCTTGACATGAGTTTAGGACATAAACATCATAAATTAAGTTCTAACACGTTAGATCTTACCCTAAACATGAAATTAGACACATATATTACATAAAAACATGATTTTTAATCTAGGGATAGGTTTGGATACAGGTGATCTTGCCTTTGCATGTGTACAAGCCTCTGAAATGAACAGCAAGTGATCTAAAAGTGCAAACAACTCGTTCTCCATTACCACACGTCGATGATCTCGCCCTCGTGTTGGTATTTTGCTTCACAAAGCTCACAAAACTCACAAGAAATTGATCTAGAGTTTTTGAGGGCAAATGGTGGCTGATAGGATTCATATATATCATCAAAGAAAAGAATTTTCATAAAAAACACAAGTATTTATAGAGGCAAATCCGAAACAAAACTCGTTTGACCCGAACCAAGAAACCTAGTCTGACTGGGAAAACCACCTTTGGTATTTTAACTGTAACTTTCTCATCCAACCTCGGAATGAGGTGATTTAAAATTTTTTTGAAACCTGTTGAATAGACCTACAACTTTGATCTTTTGAGTTTTTCTAGATTCCAACTGCATCATTGTGTAAAGCACGTATACTCTTAACTGGTTGTTTTTTCAGATTTTAGACTCGTGTATATAGTATATGATTTCACTCCTATATTCACATATATACATTGAATTGATCTCAAATCAATTTCTAGCATACTCAAACATCAATAAATATTATTTATCACCATATAACACATTTATTATTATTTATCACTATATTTTTAAATTCACGGGGTTTTACAGTTAGCCAAACTTTCGCTTAGCGAAGTCAGACGGATTATCATTCTCAATGTTATTTTCTTATGGGAATTTGAATGAGGTATTACCCCCATTCTTTGCTTCTGTCGAGGAAGCACGGTGAGCATCATGAGATCCTTTAAATCGGACCCCCAAGGAAGATATGGACTGATATCCAAAATATAAAGACATGACAACGTCTTGACCTTCGCTCAAAGTGAGGGTCGATATTTCTTCGCTCTAGGCAAAGTTCATTTGGCTTCCAGCGAAGCTCAAACCATCTTTGAAAAAAGTCGCCTTTACACACATGGGGGTCGATTTAGACCCTAAGTTCACATTGCAATGAATTTTACGACAACTTCTCACAGTTGTCATTGATGATTGGTTCGAGGAAATGAATTCCTCAAACTTTACATGGTCAAATTTTATGACTACCAACTCAGCAAAAGACCACAAGAGTCTTAGTGTCGGACTGTGACACAAAGTTCACATCGGAGGAGAAAGTAGTCCTCAGTGGAGTCGCCATCCTGTTTTGGGTCTTTGAATTATAATTGACACAGATTACAACTCAAAGGAGAAACAAGAAAATTTTAGTTGAGTTCTTTACTACGTGCCGATGGAGCGTTGATCTTATACTCCGTTGACGATATGACTAAGACGATGGGTCTCTTATTGTTGGTCTCTGATTTGGCTACTTTGAAGATAGCAAAGTCTTCTCTTAGAACCAAAATAGAGGAAAGCCACACACGTATGGGTTGTTTGATGTCTCTCTTCCATGTGTGTCTGAGTATGTGAGTCTCATTGTATCAAATGAACAATCTCCTCCTCCTCTTATAGGCTAAGAGAGTTAATAGCTTTTAATTGTGAACAACTTTTAATTGTGATTAAGTAGTTATTCAAATAGAAGATAGTAAGGAGAATAGTTTTTCCCCTTAAGAATAGCTCTCAAGTAGCTGATTGGCGAAGTTTGCTGATTAATTAGTTGGCGAAGCTTATTCAAAATATTTGGGCAATGCTCATTCGGACATGGGTGGGCCATCCCTTTTGAATTGTAGGTAACATGGCCCATAAGGGTCATTGTGGGCCAAGTTCGCCAATAATTTGGTTGGCGATCTTCGCTAATGAGTTTGAGCTTGTTTGAAGCGTTTAGCACATGGACGCGCACTTCTTAGATCTAAGCTGAACATTTGCCTAAATGAAATATATTTTAATAGTTTACAAATAATTTTGTTGTGAAATTAAAATAAAATACTTGTGAAAATGTCCATCCTCATGAGACTATCACATCTCGGATAGTTACTTTGGCTCATGCACATTAAATAAATTTCCTTAGACAACTTTCGTGTTTCTTAACTTTATATAGAACTAATAAATATGAAAAGAGAACCTATAACCTTGAAATTAGATGGAAATTCCCGAAAGGCCATAGAATTTCACTATAATTTTATTTGTTGGCTCAGTATTTATTTGTCAATTTTAGGTAATATATGTTCAGAAAAAAAATCATTTTTGTTGGCTATCATTTTTTTAAATAATATGAAATATTGGAGGTAACCAGCATTCTTTAAGGTAACATAAAAAAGGTTAAAAATGATACCCAATTAAAATATTTGGGTGATCCATCAGTGCTAAGCAATACAACTTTTTGTGAATAGCTCATCGCCTCAATTAAGAAATTGAAACTGAGCCGTAAAACATTATCCTCAGAGAGCTGAGTTACAAACGTGTGAATGGCTTATCAACTGTCCTCCTCAATTGAGAGCTCTAACCCTAAATTACAAATGCTAAGTTGGACTTTGGTTTTCAGAGAAATAAATTTTAAATTTTTTCTAAAATTGTATAGTTTTTATAACATCGTGTTGGATTTTTTTTTCCTGAATTATGTTTGGATTGAAGTATAATTAGGAGTTTTAAGTGATACACTCTCAACAAAACAAACACATTCCAACAGATGGTATCAAAGTAAAATAGGTAAGAAAATTTAAGGTACTAAAGCGTTAAAAATACATTAGGGGTACCAAAGTGATGAAGTGAAAATGAATGCCTTTTTCCTCTTTCCACACAACATGAATACAACTTCATCATATTTGATAACCTTGTGTCACTCCGGCAAGTCTTCACTTAATTCACCGATCTCATAAGGCTTTTAGAAGAAACAAAAATAGAAGTATACTGATGGGTACTTCGCAACCGCTAGGTTTCTAATTGAAATCACTTATATTCTTGCAACATCCTAATTGCTATTTGACCTATATCTTTCAGGAAAAATCTCTTCTATACTACTTACTCAAATATATCAATCTACCAACCTGATTAAATTTCATTAAAACAACATTAGGCCACTGTAGCCATGCTCACAAACATTACCATTTCCTATGTACGTCCTAACATTCATCACATAAACTACACATCAAAACCAGAATACAACCCACTATCCCTCAAAAGCCTCTTCTCCTCCTCCACATAGTTCTTCCCCCTGCTCGCTTGCCCGATATCCCTCTTCCTCTTCTCCTTCTGCGAAAACGACTTGCTCTTCTCTTTCTTCTCAAAGGGAGAGTTAATAGTTTGCAGGTTGAGAATCTTCTCGCCTTGGCTTATAGCTCGAGTTCTTTCTCTCTCTTCATAGGACTCCTTTGCTTCTTCTTCTTTGCTGCGTCGCTCACCGGTGGACCACGACCAGTCTTGATCTTTCTCTTCAACTCTTGGTGGGGGTACTTTCAGAATTGAGGGTCCTCCATGATAGCCATGCCTGCTTAAATCTTCGAAATCCATGCCTCCAATTTTCTTTTTCCTGGGATTTGATTCTGTTCGTAGAGCCAGAACCATATCAGGACATATTCTTATTACATGTAAGCAGTAGAGTTTAGCAGCATTGGAAGAGAGACATGCATGCTGTATAAATAATAGAACTGCAATCATGTACATCGCTATCATATACCCAACTTGATGATACATCATTTATGGTATCATCAATATTAGAAAAGTAGATATGAAGCAGGACCGTAGTTGTCTGGGACGTGGGACACTATAGTGAACCACGACTAGGTTATATCGTCCAAAAGCAGGGAACCTTAGCGAACCAGGATGGTGATGGAACGCGACCCAGTTTGCAAACTTCCAGCAAACCCGATTTAAAGCTAAAACTAGTCAAAATTTTGAAAACAATAATTTTTAGAAAAATAAACAAAAAAGAAAGAGTGAGAAATTGAGAAAATAAAGTAAGCGTATTCTTTAATAACATGATTTTCAAGGTTCTATTGCTATTACTGATATCAACTAACATACTTCTTGAATTGAATTTGACTCTCACAGAACCCGAGATTCCTATATTAGAAAGCGAACCTAAAGCATATCATAACCCTATATGGCATAAGCCCACTTCCCTCATCCCCGATTCCACGTAAGTCGCGTGCCACACTCCTGTTCCCGTCCCATGAATCAAAACAAATCAAGTTTCATGCAACTATGAGCGGGACAAATAGTAGAAAGTGGCTGCACTTTCAAGATTTCTCCTTCTTGGCATTGGGAAGTAATTGAGAAGCGACTGACACCACATAAACATTTTAATCTATTTCACTTTCTCCAAATGCTTGTGGCTGTTAATAAAGAGGAAATCGAGTTACAGAAGCAAATATGGTAGCCAGATTTATATTTCCAATGTTTTTTTAGAAACATTGTTATTTAAAAAGGTAAGTGAAATTACAATTTGAAGTAAAAAGTGCAGTAAATGCTCCATTACATTAGGTCCCGACAAATGTTGCAAATTCTTAAAAAGAAATTAAAACATAAAAAGCAATGCCAGCTAATAAAAAAGCTTTACACTTCCAAATCTTGGGAGGTTTTGCATCAATTGTTTTTCAATCTAACACTAAATTCGTATTTAAAATACATTTACCACAAGAAAATTGCAGATACCCAAACAATGAATTTCAAGTAGAATTTCAGCAAATAATGGAAAATGATGCAACACTTGCTTCTCGATTAACACTGCTAGCTTGAAGTTAGAGTACCACTTTTCTTTAGGATATACTACTGAGACTGAGATCACGGTACAAGTGAGGACTGTAAAACTTTGCAACTCCCAATATGGGATAAAAAAAAGTGAGGAAAAAGGATCATTTAAACTTTCATATCCTCCACAACATCAACAATGAACAACACCAATAAGTGAATCGAATCAAACTGAGGGATGTCATGAAGATGGAATGATGGAATCTATGTAGGCATCATACATGGGGTCCGAAGCCCATAATTTGGCTAAGTGATGATGTGAAGAGGTGAGTCTATGGACTTCTTCTGTGACCCAAATCGTGGCCTCAGCCTTAACCGGATGAATAATAGAGTCTAATGGCTGATGCTCGGTTTCACTCCCTACCCGAGCTCGGTCCCATTGGATGAGGAGGGTATTTGTGAGATAATGAAGTGGTTGGTGATATAAGAGCTTCAACGATGCAGCCAATCCCTGCCATGATGTGAAGGGGATAAGGGAGGCACGGTGGTTAGGAACAGGAATTTGCTTCATGTATTCTTGGTACATCTTTGCCCTTCTGATCAGTGCACCTGCAGTATTTGGAGCACCTTTTCGACGTCAGAAGAGGTTTTGATGAGGAGAGAGGAATGAAATTGATGGAAAATGTAAGGCAAGAAACTTTGCTGAGTTGTAGAACCTAGGAGGTTATGTTCGGTGTCCACAAACATATTGGATGCTAAAACATAGAAACTTAACTGACCAATGTAACTGGATAAAACTAGTATGTCAAACAAACTTGGGCTTCAATACTTGGTCAATTACAGAGTCAACTTTGACTGTTCGGAAACAGAAAAGACACTCTCTATTTATGCTGCAGCTTAGAAAAGCCTGAGTGACTTCTATGTCTGGTTAGTACATATGAACTTCTCCACAGGATGTTCTAAAAGTTGAATTCTTTATGTGCATACACGGATGTCTCCAGTGTTAGAATATAAAATTATAATAACACTCAACCTCGTCGTCACAAAGTTGGAGTTTAATGTAGTGGGAGTTTATTGTTAGAACATAAAATTATAACCCTCAACTCTCACCTTAACTTTAAAACTTTGGTGTAGTGACAGGGTCTTTAAAATGGTACGAGAGCAACTCATGTTCAAATCCCAGTAGCCACTAATTGAATCATGATTTTCAAGAAAAAAGTAGATACCGCTATGTGAGTCCAATTTTCGGCCCTCAACCTACAGGGGGCATGGTAGAACATAAAATTATAATCCTCACCATAACTTCGAAGTTTTGGTGCAAAAGCAAGGTCTTGAACAACGATATCGACAGAAAATGGTATCAGAGTAATCCAGGTTCAAATCCGTTTGACTATGTATTTAAAGAGCATTTAGAAAGATAGAATCGTGTGAGTCCAAGTTCCTACTCATGAAAAGTAAGCTCAACTTGCGGGGGCATGTTACAATAAAATCATAATCCTCATCATAACTTCAGAGCTATGCTATAGCGAACTAGACTTTAAGATGCTAGAGGGCAGGCACGAGTTCTACAGTTTGATATCATCATCATCATCATTACCCAGGCCATCTCCCATCAAAGTAAGATCTGTTGCAACGAAAAATATTCGGATTTCACCGTCTAGTGTGAACTTAATTATCTTCAAGCTGGTCGAAGGCTATAAACCTTGCACGCGGAGGACCATGTCCTCCAAGCATCTTGTATGCGCCATTGCACATTACAAGCGAACCGCAGATCCGTTAGTCTCCAGACATCGCGGGTATAATATAGCATGATACCCAAGGTGAGAAACAGACTGCGGAACTGCTGTAAAACATCAGAATGGTATCACTTGCAAATCTTTTAGAATTGCATCTTGTTCTGATTTCTAACTTGTAAGAAGAGCAAGTATTTGGCTCTTCTAGATCTGCTATGACCGGGACAGCTTGTCTTTACGTTTTGTTCTCGTAAATGACCAGGACATGTGTGAATATTTCAACCCACTAACGAAATATAGAATAAAAAGGGGAGAGATTCAGTAACAAAAGGACGCACCTTCAGACATGATACCCTTGGATAATGATCGAGAACCTCCTTTCTTAACAGACAGCGGATCGCCATCAGAGTCTGAATCAGAAGAATCAGAAGAAGAAGATATAGTTAAGGCTTCTTCCCACGGGGCTGCTCTCTTCATTTCAAAACTGCAGTTTAGTACATCAAATAGATTTTTTTTTAAAAGAACACTTCACTACGAAAATCAAATATATATATATAAATAAATAAAATCCTCAACTTTTTTTCCACACAACCACTAGATTTTAATTATATTTTCAAGTGAAAATATTAGATAAATTTCACAAAAACTAAAGTGAACTGTTAGGGGATTTGCGCCCAAAAAAAACCCCATAAACAATTTAGAGAATATATTACAACGCTATTTTAACTAAATATCACGACTAGCAGATGTTAACAAATTACAAAAAAATCTGTGAGGGTAGCAAGCGCAAATTCAAAGGGACGAAAGAGGGGGGGGGGATTTTTAAAACGATGAAGGAGAATGAAACCCTAGGTTCCTCATACCTTTGATCGAGATCCTCTCCAGAGCTGAAGAAAAGAGCTGGTTTCTTCTCTCTCTCTCTCTCTCTCTCTCTCTCTCTCGGTGGATTTTCCTTTAATTTGGGAGCAGCTCGATCCTGGCCTCTGACGTGGGTCGGGCTGTCCATTTAACCCGACCCGTATTAAATGGTAAATACTGTAACATTAGCAGTAAATCTTTATATCTTGTTTGAAGTTATTGTTTATATTACAGTATTAAATGGCAAATCTTTGATTCCTTTAAGTAAAGAATAGTAGATATGATTTCTAATTTTAAACATACGATAATCAAATCAAATATATTAATTTTTAGAGGGAGACGGGTTCAAAATGCAATGCTTGAAAAAATAGGGATCGTGCTTTGCACGGGGGTACACACTAGTTTTGTTATGATTTAGAAAATCTAGTGAGATGAGACTATTGGTACATATAATACAAACTCCTTCTCTTTTTGCAGAATTTCTGGGATGTAATTCAATTATGTTATAAAATTTAATTTTTATTTCTTCCCCTTCTTATCAACTTTACCAATATTGAATAAATATTAATTGGATAATTGTGAATAGACCCCCTTTAGTTATATTTATCAATGAACTTTTATTTACTTTTAAAATAATTAAAAAGGTTTTGACGAGGCAGATAAATAATAGTTATTATATAATTAATTATAAGCTATATCTCACTTTATTTTATTTTATTTTCAGAAAGTATTTTTGCCCTTCATTTGGGCATAGCATGCGCTATGAAACTAATAGGAAAAAGAAAATACACACCCTACGTTTGTAACAGATTCAAACCATTTCCATGTTATTAAAGAAAAAAAAGAAGAATAAATAAATAATTTTGAAGGTGAGTAAGACTTCAATGACCATGCACCCAGATATGTTTGTCTAAGTATTAATAATACACCTTTACTGCAAAAGCATTAGTTTAATAATGCTGAAAATATTTTTCTCTTTCAGTTATTAATATCTGAGATTTTGTTAACACTCTGAACAATTTAACTTGAGAATCTACGGGAGAGAACGAATCAAATTATCAACTACGCACATGATCTTATATTTTCAACTCACTTATCATTTCTACGTAAGTTCTATAAACTAATTTTGAGAGACTTAAATAATCTAAATTAGTTTTCTAATAAAACATTTGAATTAAATATATATACATCATAAATAATTATTAAAAAATGAGTTTCATTTATAAATTTAAAATACTATTTTACAATCAATTATTTTAGCAAAATATGATATTTGATAAATATTCATGAATGTTTCAAATACTATGTATTCGAGTTTGAATTTGAAAAATATTGATAATGAATATTCGAATTCGGGTTTGAATTCGGTAATCTTAAACAAATATAAATATGAACACATTAGTATTCAATTCGATTCGATCGTCTACCATCTGCTTGAGACCTCTAACAATCAAACATACTCTTTATCAGTGAGTGGATTAGTAAATATTCTTAAAAAAACTGAGAGGAGTTTAAATTTGTTTTAAAATATTACATTAATTGATTTGAAAGGAAAAAAAGAACTATTTACTTAACATGAAGGATGCAATTATGTAAAAACACGATTTATGATATTTTTTTTGGAAATTAGCCTAAAAAATAAATCAACTTCTCGTTTTATCATGGTCAAATGTTATATACCGGCACACAATAACTATTGTGCTGTGGAGCAAACATAGCGAAGGCATAAACTTTTGGTGTATTTCTTATTTCACGAAATCAGATACTTTCCA